ACTCTCAGTTCTATTCCATTGATCTCTTCATTTACTCTTATGCCAGTACTATGTCCTCTAGACTGCTCTACACTAGGCTTTAAAGTCAGTAAGTCTAAGTGCTCCAACTTTATTCTGTTTCAAATTATTTTGGCTATTCTGATTCCCTTACATTTCCATATGCATTTTAGGATAGACTTGTCCATTTCTGCAAAAAGGACAGTTGTAATAATGCTAGTCTGTTTTTAAAGACGCAATACAATTTGGGGCTATTTATTTAGAACCCTTGTTATACAGTCAAAAACTCATGAAATGATCTGAGAATGTTTCAGGGCATTTGAACTTGAGTGTTAATTCCATCTCCTCAAACCACCCTCACACATTTTGAGTAGGATAATAGATCGTCACCGTAGAAATTTAAATGTATGTTCTGACTCATAAGAGCATCTTTGCTCCCCTCTGCCCAGTCCTCCTTGTCCAGCTTGAGCACCAGAAAAAGCCTGAGCCCTGGCCTCTGTCTTACAGAAAGCCAGGGGGCTTCAGAGGTCTGTCTTCTTCTCCAGACCTCCAGGCTCCTCAGACTCTTTTACCCTCAGCCGGTCTGGGCCCTGACCCCCACATCCCAGTGCGTGGAGATAGGTGACTCTTCCCTCTGCACAGCCCTGTGTGTCACTGGAGGAACCAGCACTGAGAGGACCCTGGGCCGTCTCTGGTGTTGGAGCCACACACAGGTAATCTCTAATGGATAACATCAAAGGGCAGGGGAAGAGTTTTAATCTCATGAAAACTGAATGTCGATCCAGCATAGATGTGTCCCTGAACTCTATTCCCATCTCCCTGGTTCCTGATGGCTCTCACAGTTCTGTCTTTCTCCTGGCTACACAGGAGGCACTGCTGTCCTTGCCTGGTATGGAGGCATCATCCACGGGATAAGAGCTCTGTAACAACACTGCTGAATCTTACAGAATTGTTGAGGTGGGCCTCATATTCCCTGGCTTCTGAGTGATAAGTCATGAAAGGGATGGAAACCCATTGGGAGTCCCTGCCTGAGCCCTACGCCTCTGAGGGGATGGTGCCCCTGGCATGCATGTGAGCCCCATAAGTCCTGACCCTGGCTTGTGCTGGAAAGGACAACCCAGCAGCTGAGCACCAAAGCCTCCCTGGGAATCCGACATCTACCAGGCGGACTCAGGCAGTGGTAATAGGAGGTATGTCAGGTAGATATTCATGCAGGCTCAAGTCGGGGACAGTACACAATGGGAGTAAAGAGGGATCACAGGTTAGGAAGAGACCACCAGCAGGAGGGAGAAAGAGGGACTCAGGATGCCCTCCGTTCCCCTGAGGCGTAGCAGAGACAGCCACAGGCCCAGGCCCCGATCAGGGACAAGTCCTGTCCCAACTCTGCCACTCGAGGGGGACAGAGGGACATGCATGTGAATCCTGTGACATCTGAGTGTATTTGGAGCCCTTTTTTCTCCTTCTTCAAATTATTGCTTTATTGGCGTTAAATCTTCTCTAAATTTCTTATAGAATTCAGCCATGAATCCATCAGAACCTGGGCTCTTCTTTGTTGGTAAGTTTTTAATCACATTTTCGACTTCAGTAGCTGATATTGGGTTATTCAAAATTGTTTATCTTAATTGAGCTTTGGTAGTTCACGTTTCTAGAAATCTGTGCATTTCCTCGGCATTTTCCACCCTATGTGAGTAGAGATTTTCAAAGTAGGTGTTCATGACTTTTTGAATTTCCATGGGATCTGTAACTTCCCTCTTCTCAGTCCTTATTGCGTGGATTTGAGTTTTTCTTTTTCTTGATAAGGTTGCCTAGAGATTTATCTATTTCGTTTATTCTCTCAAAACATCAGTTCTTTGATGCGTTAATTATCTGTATTGCTTTTTTAGTTTCAATTGCATTAATTTCTGCTCTAATCTTTACAATTTCCTCTCTTCTATGAGCTTGGGGTTTGACTTGCTCTTCCTTTTCTAGAAGCTTGAGATGTAGCATTAGGTTGTTTATTTGTGCTCATTCCGTTTTCTTGATGTGACTATTTATTGCTACATATTTCCCTCTTAAGACTGCTTTCATTGCATCCCATAGGTTACGATATGTTGTATTGGCATTTTCATTGTGTTATAGGTATTGTTTTATTTCTTCTTTAATTTCATCTGTAACCCACTAGTTGTTCAAAAGGTTGTTATTTAATTTCCATGTATTTATGCAGGTTTTGCAGTTTCTTTTGTCATTGATTGCCAATTTTAGTGCACTGTGGTCAGATATTATGCATGGGTAATTTTGCTCCCTTTGCATTTACTTAAGAATGTTTTATGAGTTGATATATGGTTTATTTTGGAGAATGTCCCATGTGCAGCTGAGAAGAATGTATATTCTGTTGTGGCTGGGTGGAACATTCTGTAAACTTCCACCAAATCCCTTAGCTCACAGGTATGACTCAGTTCTGTTATTTCATTGCTGACTTCTTGTCTAGTTGATCTCCTCTTTGTGACAGTGGTTTGTTAAGGTTTCCTATTACAATTGTGTTCTTGTGTATTTGGTTTTTCATGTCCATTAGTATCTGTCTTATATAGTTGGGTACTCCTGTATTTGGTACATATATATTTATGATTGTTAGCTCTTCCTCTTGTAGTTTTCCACTTACAAGTATGTAGTGGCCTTCTTTTTCTCTTTTAGGCATTTTAGGTTTGAAGTTCACTTTGTCTGCAAACAGAATAGCTACCCCTGCTTTTTTCTGGGTTCCTGTTGCATGGAATACTGTTTTCCATCCCTTTACTTTTAATCTATGAGTTTCTTTTTGAGTCAGATGTGTTTCTTGTACATAGAATATTGTAGGTTCCTGTTTCTTGATCCATTCTGTCAACCTGTGAATTGAGCCCATTTACATTTATGGATATCACCGATATATGCTGGCTTAACTTTGCCATGTTGTGTTCCTGTTGCTGGTTTTCTGCTTTTCTCCCTTGTTTAATTTCTTGTCTAGCCTGGTGGTTTCTTTCTATTGTTGTTCTGGAGATTGTAGTCATTCTTATCTCTATCTAGCAAGCCTTTCAGTGCTCTTTCTAAGCTTGGTTTGGTGGACATGAATTTCCTCAGTTGTTCTTTGTCATGGAATATCTTCTTTCTCTATTAAATTTGAATGAAAGTTTTTGCTGAGTACATCAGTCTGGGTTGAAAATTGTTTTGTTTTAGGGCTTGAAATACCTCACTCCAAGCTCATCTTAACCTGAAGGTTTGTGCTGAAAAGTCTGCTGTGATTCTAATGGGCTTGCCTTGATAGGTGAGTTGTGTCTTTTCTCTAACATGTTTTAGTATTCTGTTTTTATGCTGTATGTCTGGAATCTTAATTATTATATACCTGGGTGTAGATTCATGTTGGTTTTGACTGTTTGGCATTCTATATGCCTCATTTATTTGTGTATCATATTTGTATATCAGATATATCAGCTGGGATCTCATATTACTAAAAAGGTTTTGCACTTCAACAAAAATCACCAACAAAGTGAAAAAAATCCACAGAACGGTAAAGAAGTTTAGCCAACAATCCCTCAGACAAAGGACTTATATCCAGAACATAAAAAGAATTGAAAAACATCAAGTCCCTCAAATTCAAAGACCCTCTCCAAAAATCGGCATTGGAGATAAACACACAGTTCTCAAATGAAGATACACAAATGACAGATAAATACATGAAGAAACATTCACCATCACTGGTCATTCAAGAAATGCAAATTAAAACAACAGTGAGATTTCATCTCACCATGGAAAGAATGACTCCTATCAAGAAATCAACACAACAAATGTTGGCGAGGATGCAGGAAAAAGAAACACTGTTCCACTGTTGGTGGGAGTGCAGACTGGTGCAACCACTGTGGAAATCAGTATGGAGATTTCTCAGAAAACTAGGATTGGAAGTTCCATGTAATCCAACTATTCCCCTGCTGGGTATTATCCCAGAGAAACTGAAAAGGTCATGTCACAGTGATATATGTGTACCCGTATCATAACAGCACAATATGTGATAGCTAAATTTTGGAAACAACCAAAATGCTCATCAACTTCAGAATGTATGAAAAAATGTGGTATTTTTATACAATGGTGTACTACTCAGCTATAAAAAGGATGACATTGAGACCTTTATAGGTAAATAGAGGCAATATTCTCATTAGTGATATATATATTGAGAATATTCTCATTACTGAAATAAACAACTAACATTAGTAAATATATTGTCTCTCTAGTGTAAAAAGCAATAAAAACTGACAGAGTAATGGGATCCAAAAAGTATAATAGGTATGAGAAAAGTGAAAGGGAAGAAATATATCTAATGAAAGGGAAGGAGTTATACCTAAAGGATATAACTGTATGTATAGTGTGTAAAATAGATGACCATATTACTAAATTTTGTTAGATCACTGAACAGAAGGATTTTCACTGTCACTGTTTGAGGTTCTAGCCACTTTGTATGCTTTGATTTTGACTTTAACCACTATTTTTAAGATGACAATATGTAATGTATCAACTAGCGATTTTCTGATGTTAATTTTCTGAATTTTGGATTATTCTTTTTTCTATTTGTTTTCTTTTCTTTCTTTAAAAAATTTTTGCTTTATTTCTTAAAAATGAAATTCAGGGTAGCTTTCAAACAAGAATAGATCTCTACTTCATATGCTTAATAAAACGGTTTTTTGTTGTGGGTGTCCCCCCACCCCGCACATTAAGTCAAGGTGACCCATCAGGTGGACTTCAGCCCGTAGTAAAAATGCTGCAGGATTCAGGGTGTTTGTTACAGAGCTCTTACCCAGTGGTTTGAGAAGAGCTTGTCCGGCTTCCTCATTTTGCCAGCGAGAGATGTGCAGAGAAGGAAAAGGCCTTTCGTTCTCGCATCCCGCTGTTCTCTCACCTGAAAACTGAGCTCTTTGGGGTCCTCCCGCTGGGAGGCGCAGACTCAGAGCCCGAAGGCGCAGGGAGCGCCCCCTCCGGCGAGGCAGGCGCGGCGTGCCGGCTCGTCTCCTCCCCGCGCTCCCCACGCCCCTTCCTCCCGCGGGGCGCAGCGGGTGCGCAGCCGCCGGCCGTCACCGGAAGCCCGGCCGCGTCCTCCGCGCTGGGACCCGGCCGCCCGCGCCCGCCACCGGCACCTGGTAACCGCGCGGCCCCGCGCCCTGCGCCCTGCGCCCAGCTGTCGCCGCGGGCTTTGAGGGCGCCGTTCCCGGCCCGGGCAGCCCCGCTCAGCGCGGCAGTGCCCCGCGCGCTGGCTGTAAACTCAGGCGGTGGGAGGGTTCCCGTGCTTAGCGCCTTCTGTCTGGTTCTGTCTGGTTCGGGAGATCTTGAAGAACCCCCAAACTGGAAGATGCTCTGTGTTCCACGCCGGGAGCGGTGCCCTAGGCCCTTAGAGCCGCCTGAGTGTTTAGATCGTCCTGCCTGGGCCTCCACCCTGGGATGCGGTCAGATCCGTCCCAGCCCTGCCCCATGCCTTCCTGAAATGCCCTTCTCCCCAAACCCAGCCTTGGGGCAGATCCTTCTACCTTTATTATTTATCCTGGTTATGGCAAGAGTTTTTCTGCCCTGTCTGTATTCTAAAATAAGGTGCAGATGAATCCCGAGGAAACATGATTGCAGTAATATACTCCACAGGTCACTTAGTGTGGTCCCCTATAAAATCTGATACCTCGAGACCCATATAACAGTCCAGCTAAGGCCCGCGGTGTCCCCACCCCCACCCCCACCGCAGTGACCACAGCAGCTGACTGTGTTTCCTGCCTTCTCTGGGGCACTGAACCCCAGCATCTGTGTCTGTACTTTGCCCAGTTGGCTGGGGCTGCTGCCTCTTGTGGCTTGAGCCGACCAGGTTCATGTGCCTGTGGTCATCTGGCTGCCCCTGCACCTAGGCGTGTCCAGCCTGTCAGCCTCCTGCCTCTGCTCCTGGGCACTGGGTCCTCAGCCCCCTTAAAGTAGGGAACCAACATGGAGGTGACCCCGGTGTCCTGGGTCCATGGAACCCACGTCACCCAGATTCCAAAGATATTTTCTTTCGCTGTGTTTCTAGCCTACCTGTCCCAGCCCGTATCCCAGCACCATTGCCTCTGGCTGGTGGTTGCACATTCTCTTTCCGCTGGTCCTATAAAATCCAGGTTTCCTTGTTGCCGCCCTAGGGTCTGTTAGCCTTGGTGCTGATCCTGGTTGAAGAATTAGTCCTGTCTGTGCTGGTGCACCGCTAGCCCCTGGCTCCTGACCCTGCCTCTGTCCTGTGACACTCCATCAGCATCTCTCACCCGCTGTGCCAGGCTTTCAGAGTTACCTTGCTTTTGTTTCTCTGACATGGACCCCTAAACAGGGTGACCTTAAATCCCTGTTGCCCAGGGATAGTCCTGGCTTATACCCACTGTCCCAGTGTAATGGGATACACTCCTTTTCATGTTTCAAAAGCCTCACTATTTGCAAGGTGGAGTCCACCTCTGTCTCTAAATTAGATGTGCTTGCAGTTGAAGCAAGGGGGCACCCATGTAGGTGTCCCTGTGCCCAGGGGTACCAGGGGCACAGAGTAGGGATTGACCAGAATTCTTTAAGGTCAGTGCCAGCACATCCACTTCATCCACTTCTTAAAAGCAAAGCGCTTTGCCCCTGGGGGACAAGATGCGTTCCTCTCCAGGCCTGGCAGAGAAAAGTCTCCATGGTACCAAGAACTAGGTCTAGTCCAATCCCCCTCCCCCCAGTTACTGTGGTGGGTTCACTACAGATTCACCAAGTTCAGTGCTGCAATCTCCCTCATGCCCCCTCCACACCCCAAAACAAAGCAAGAGCACTCTGTGTCTATGACAGGCAGGGCCTGTTAGTCATGGCTAGAGAGCTCTAAGGGAACCACGGCAGGGCTACTAACTGGAGCTCTAAGGTTAGGGTACTGGCTGTCAGACAGAATTAGCCAATTTATCCTAGTGTGCCTAGGACTGACGATTTCCAGGGACATGGCTTTCAGGGTTTTTGTTTTTATTTTATTTTATTGGACTCACTGTGTAGCCTAGGCTGGCTGTCACTAACAGTGGTTCTCTTGCCTCAGCCTCCTCAGTGCTAGGATTACAGATGTGCACCACCACACCCAGTGGGACTTTCAGTTTTAAAACCAGGAAAGTCAGACAATCTGGGATGAATTATCACCCTATGGTCAACCCTGGCTGCATGTAAGGCTCATTCCAGGGTTCTTATTAAAGAAAGTCTGATTTAATTGATCCAGGTAGGGTCCTGAGCATGTGAAAAAAGGAATTGAACTTAGGGCCTTGCACTTACTGGGCAGGCACTTATGCCACTGAATATACCTGGTGTGAAGTATTTTTTAAAATTTATTTATTTATTTATTTTGGGACTAAGGATTGAACCCAAGTCCTTTGCACTGAGCCATATCCCCAGCGCGTTCTTTTATTTTTTTTATTTTAAGACAAGGTTTCCCTAAGTTGTCCAAGTTGGGCTTTGAGTTTCTTTCCTCCTGCCTCAGCCTCCCAGAGTGCTGAGATTACAGGCCAGCACTACTACACCCAGCGCGTGAATTGTTATAAAGCTTCCAAATTGATTCCAGCAAGCTGCCAAGGTTGAGATCCATTAAGTTAAAAGCCATACCCCTAAATAAACTCCGGATGTGGGCACAAGGCCGGGTGTGTCCACCTCCTCATCATGGCAGTTACCTACTGTTGCTGTTTCCCCATTCCAAGAGTTTCTTCTCAAGGGTGAGGATTGGGCTTCTCTTTTCCCAGCATGCTCTAGTGCCACGTCTCCAAGGTTGTGGGTTGTAGCATTGCCTCCTTCCGGGTGGTGAGGTCCTGATTTGCACAGGGCCAGGTAAAGCTGACATGAGACTTCCCCATCCGTGGGAGGTGGCTCAGAGGCCAGCTGAAGGGCTGTGACTGCTTCAGCTTCACCCTCTGGGGTCCTGGGAGTGTGGACACCTGGCACCTCTGGGCTGTTCTCTCTGCAGGTCTCCAGAACCATGTGGTACATCAGTACACGGGGCACAGCTCCCAGAGTCGACTTTGAGGAGGCCCTGTGCTCTGGCTATGCACCTGATGGCGGCCTCTACATGCCCGAGGAGCTGCCCCAGCTGGACAGGGAAACCCTGCAGCACTGGAGCTCACTGTCCTACCCCAGCCTGGTGAAGGAGCTCTGCAGCCTCTTCATCGGGCCTGAGCTCATTCCGAGACAGGACTTAAATGGTGAGCGCCTGTTGCCAGCTCTCTACCCCCTGCAAGTTGTAAATTCCTCACCCAACAGCGAAAGGCTCTAGCCACACCTCATAAACTCTGACTTTTCCCCTTTACTCTAGATTCTCAGAGGGAGAGAGAGAGAGAGAGAGAGAGAGAGAGAGAGAGAGAGAGAGATTTTCCCAAATTTTTTATCAGGGAGATGAACATCAAACTGATTTGTAGAGAATTTGTTTCTTTTAGTTTATTATTTTAATAATCATGCTGTGCATGGGGGTGTACTCCTGTAGTTCCAGCACTTGGGAGGCAGAGGCAGAAGAATTTCTGAGTTTAAGACCAGCTGGGCTACTGTCTTAGTTACTTTTTACTCGTTGCTGAGACAAAATACTCGAAGCCCAAGTTGAGAAAGGAAAGATTTATTTCTTACAGTTTTTGGAGGTTTCAGTCCACACTCAGTTGGCTCCAAGGCAGGCGGGCATGGCTGGGCCGCAGTTCATGGCGGCTGCAAACAGCAAGCAGGAACCAACAAAGAGCAAGACACACCTTCTTCCTGCCATTACATCACATCCTGGCTCCACCCCTATGTGAGTGGAGCACTGACACCATCAATCCAAGCACTAGACAATGAACCATCACAAATGCACAATGCAAACTCCTGAGGCCTGGGGGCCACAGACATAAACCATGACAGCTACATTTGAGACCTTGCCTCAAAATAAAATAAAATGTTAAAATAAAACAGCTTTAAGATTAGGGATTTTAAATCATCCTGAGTGGCTTGAATGTTGGGCTGTTTTCTTTGTGCATGTGAAGCACCAGGACCCAGGTGTCTGTTTTACCTCCTTGAATGGTGATTCTGAAGGGACTTAGAGTCTTGTCTTAAACTGCAGTGTGTCTATTGATGCCCCTGGGGTCTCAGTTAAGGTCAGATTCTGATTCAGGAGGGCTGGGGTAGCCCTGAGGACCCTGAATGTCTATCAAGTGCCCAGAGAGCACCAGCACTGCTGGTCGGTAGACCACATTTTGATAGCACAAACAAAGCCCATGATGCAACAGTTGGCGTTTGGGGTTGGGGAAGGCAAAGCACCACTCAAAATGTAGTCTATTGGCAGCCAAGACACTGCTTGGACACTTGTTAGGTGTCTCAGGCTCTTTTAGCCCTTCTAACATGGACTCTGCATTTTAACCCAGCCCCACGCCTTTGCTCTGCTGGTGAGAAGTGAAGCCGTGTTCTACAGAGCTGTGCTGTAGGTACTGCTGTTTAGCTACCATGCCTGGTTCTGGCACAGTGATGTGAGATTTAGTAATGCAAAAGAACCAATGAACAAAATCTGTCTTTAAGAAGGAAAATTAGGAGGATAAGACATTCATTTGCTTGTTTAACTACTTACATGACTCTTATTGGACTGCATGCTCATAAAAAACCTCAGACAATGAAGAAATGTTTACAGTAAAAAATGGAAGTCTTCTTGTATCTGTTCTGGTCTCAGGGGGAAGCCCTTGGAGCAATCTATGACTAGTTTAATATCTGTCATTTCCGACTTTTTTTTCTAGGTTTATGTAATCATGTGCATAAATGCTATCATTTACAATAAAATTATCTGGTCTTTGGTGTGACAGCAGGAGATGAAACTGCCACATTTGGAGCATTCATCCACCGTCCACCCCTCCTACCCTCACAGGTCTGATCGATCGAGCCTTCTGCAGATTTCGCTCCAGAGATGTGGTCCATCTGCGTAGGCTGAAGAGTGGGCTGAACGTGTTGGAACTGTGGTATGGGGTCACATATGCCTTTAAGGACTTGTCCCTGTCCTGCGCGGCTCAGTTCCTGCAGTACTTCCTGGAGAAGAGGAGCAAACATGTCACCATAGTCGTGGGTGCGTATTTCGGTTCAAGCTTAAAGCCTTAGAGCCCTAGCTTTAGGTTCCGCCTGAGTCAGAGGTGCAACAGGGGTGGCTACAGCAATATTCTTAGCCTCTTCTTTGTCATCCTGAAAAAAGCTATGGCTGCTTCTCAGAACAAAATTTCTATATACCCGGACTTCTTAAGATCACCCACAGCAGCAGTGTTCTGAATATTATCCATGGGTCAATGGCCTGGGCTAAGTACTAAGTTCCTTATCTCCCACAATGCTTCACGGACCATTTCTTTCCCTTCTTCCCTCGTTCTAAAGCAGATGGTTCCTCTTTCATCCCATCTAGGAACTTCTGGGGACACAGGAAGTGCTGCCATTGAGAGTGTCCAGGGTGCAAAGAATGTGGACATCATTGTTCTGCTGCCCAAAGGTTACTGCTCGAGGATTCAGGAGCTGCAGATGACAACGGTGCTAAAGGACAATGTCCATGTGTTTGGAGGTGGGTGGAGGAGGCAGGGCTCCAGGGGCAGCGTGGTGCTGCCTCCACGGGGTCTGCTTTGGGACAAAACAGTTCAGTTGACAAGCTGGCTGTCCTCTCCTTTCTCCTTTCCCTCTCCCTCCCTCTCTCCCTCCCTCCCTCTCTCCCTCTCTCCCTCTCTCCCTCTCTTCCTTCCTTCCTTCCTTCCTTCCTTCCTTCCTTCCTTCCTTCCTTCTTCCTTCCTTCTTTCCTCAGCTATATTTTGAGGTCGGTCCGTATGGCTTGGCTTAGCTCTCAGTGGGGTCCTGGCCATGCAGCCCCCTAAACTATTGGAGGTGACAGATGTACAAACCAGCAGTAGCAGTGCAACATAGGCGGTGCAGGTTTGAAGCCACCTCACGTGGGTTCCACTCACTGCGGTTGTGAATGAACCATGCAGCTGCAGGGCTGCAACCTGAGCCAAGCTACTGGGGTTTTGTTCCAGGCACTGAAGTTTAGAGGACACACACTCAGTAAATAATTAAGAGAATGCGTCTCTACATCTGGGCCATTCTCGCCCTCCCTTACAGTCTAGAAATGACTAAACCATGCATGTGCTTGATCTAAGTATTTAAAGTAGGAAGCTGCTCAGTCATTGGTGATAGGTAATTATCATGCAAATGAAGTCCTCACCCACATCATGAGAACTGATGCTTTTTGTGCTTGGAGAAAGGAAAAAATCATCTCTTTTCACATCACATCTATTCTGAATGGATTTAGCCTGCATAGAGACTGAGAATAGAAAAGGACAGGATGAGTGTGGGTGGAGCATTTTGCCTCTAAAACCTAACTAGACCTCCAGGAGCCCTGGCTTTGGGACAGGAGTATGAAAAGTGGGGGTCTCAGTTGAGGTTTTGCACAGTGGGCCTCTCCACATGGCCTCTCTTGTCTGGTTATTCATCTGGTGCATCAGCAAAGGTGATGGCAGAAAATATTCCCTCTACAGCTGGCCTGGCCTGCCTGTGTAATCCCATAAAGGATGTTTTCATGTAATAGCAACTTTATCAAGGAGCAAAAGCATCATGAAAACAAACCTGACTCCTGGGAGTTGCATTAGTTTCATGTCCGTGTTTTTAAAAGCAACCAAAATTATCCTCTGCTTTCCTTTTTAGCACATACATTTAGCAGCCAAAGTCCATGGTTTAGCAAATGCTGGGCTGCAAAATCTTATACAGTAGTCTTGGTACCTGCAAAGATTTAGTGCATTTTCTTGCAATCATTGCAAGACTTCACTGCACAAGGTTCAAGCACCAAAACTGATACTTACGGATCCAGAACCATCTTTTCCAACATTGAATTAGAGAATAGCTTTGTGTACTTCTGTGTGGCCATGAACTCCTTTCTTGCCTTGCACACAGATATTGAAAGGTTTTTCCATAACAGGATTAATGAAACTCATTCATGACCTGTGGGTAAGAGAACAGTGCTGATTTTTAAAATCATGGCCAATATGAGGATGATGGTGAGTGGTCTGTGTGGTTGTTGTAGCTGAAGACATATTTCTTTTGTGAATGTTCTGAGCTTTAAGAAGAGAAATCACAGAGGCTGGGGATTTAGCTCAGTGGCATAAGCACCTGCCTTGCAAGTGTGCGGTTATGAGTTCGATCCCTGGTACTGAAAAAGACAAAAAAAAAAAAAAAAAAAAAAAAAAATAGAGAAGACATGAAACTAAGGACATGAATGCAATAAGGATGCCTGGTAGATAATGAGCTGACAACAAATATGTTTTTTCCCCTTGATTGAGGAGCTCAGGAAGTAGGAATGCACCACCCGGATATCCTGTGTGGACCCTGAGTTTATTATGTTATTAACTGCCTTATACGTTGAAGACTTATTAAATACAGAATCATTAGGAAGCACTAGATCACTATTGGTTGTGTTATTTAGCACGGTTTTGGCTGCAAGTAATAGAAAAATCAAACTCAGACCGACTTAAACAGGATAGTTTCTATCTTCTGTCACTGGACATCCTGAGGTGAAGAATGACTCTTACTTGGCTGATTCAGTGATCCAAAACCTTCAGGAACCGCGTCCCTTCCCATTTTCTCTCTGCCTTCCCCGATCCTAAGGCTCATTTGTCTGGTCATATGATGGTGACTTGAGGCAACCAGCTCTCTCCTCCTGTAGCTTTTTCTTAAAAGCAGTGAACACTTTTTTAGCCAGTGACATCCCCTTGAGTGTTATTGACCTGAATTCATCACATGCCCATCTTGGAGCTGACTCTTGACCCCATGGGAATGCCAGGCACTGATTGGCTTGCCCTTGGCAAAGGAATGGGATGATCACAACTGGCCCAGGACACTTGGGATTCCCGTACAGGTCTGAGGTCATTCCCCAGCTTTTCTGCTTCTATACAGTGCTACAGGAAACAACCCTTAACAACCGTAATTCATGCTGATACTTTCCCCAATGATTTTCTACCTGTTCTTTCCAAGTATGGAGAAATAGACCCAAGTATCAGATATGATCGATATTGGTGTAATTACTAGATGAGGAATACATGTCAGACTCATGGGCAGTTCACTTAAAAATTTACCCATGAATTAAGCTGATGTGCACAGAAAAGAGAGGTTCTGCCCCTGCAAGCTTACCTAACATATAGGAGCAGAGGGTAGAACAGTCGCTTGGGTGCTTGATGAAGGCAGACCACAGGGACACAGTGGCCACGTCCCTTCTACCCTGATGGAGCCATAGAGTACAGGATCAGCCTCTCTCCAACTCATGGTCAGGTAAACAGTTCCTCTTTTGCAAAAGAGTTGGCAAAGTGGGTGTGGCTTCAAAAGGGGAATCCTTACCCAGACTCCCAGAGAGTTGACCTTTTGTGTCTTGGACCATTGGAAATGGCTCCAGCCACATTTTCAGTTCTCTGATGCAAGGGCAGATACTCAGGCACACAAGTATAGGAGACCTAGTTTCTACCCCAAGGAGCTTCCTAGTGAGTCTACAGAGCCAGGCCCAGCTACAGGAAAAGAGGGCAGATCCTGGGGGTATGGCACAGCCAGGAGGGGGGACCTGACTCAGGCGAGTACTGAGCACCCAGGAGCCTGTCCTGCTCCTGAGAGCCATGGTCTCCTCTTCCCCCGACAGTGGAGGGAAACAGTGATGAGCTGGACGAGCCCATCAAGGCCATGTTCGAGGATGTGGCTTTCGTCAAGAAGCACAACCTGATGAGCCTCAATTCAATCAACTGGTCTCGGGTCCTCGTGCAAATGGCCCACCACTTCTTCGCTTACTTCCAGTGCTCACCTTCGCTGGACACGCACCCACTGTCCCCCGTGGAAGTGGTTGTGCCTTCAGGAGCTGGTGGCAACCTTGCAGGTAAGGAGACCCTGGATACGAATAAGTTTCCTGGAAATCTGCCTACAGCCCCAGTCTTTCCAGCTGCCCTTCGGCTGCCACTGGGAAGAAAAAGAAGGCCGAGTCCTAGTTCTGGGGATGACCGGAAACCATACAGAAGAACAGCCCAGAAGATTTCCTCCCTGGCTTCCTGGGTGGGTGCCTTGGGCTTCCTGCTCAATTCCATGTACTCTGACACATGTGAGCCGATGAGGTCAGGAGTCAGCCTTGGAGCCCAGCTGGCAGTGTCCTGTCCCTAAAACACGGACTTTACTCCCAGTGGCCTGCTGCAGGGACAAGTGGCTTGTTCCTACTGCTAGGCACACCCCCTGGGCAGCATGGGAGGCTCAGCGGGTCCTGGACTTAGGACTCTGGCCCTGGCTCTTTCCAGCCAATTTGGTGTGGTTTGGTCCTTGAAGTATGACTATAAAGCTGTAGAAGGAGATTGGTCACTTAGCATGTTTCTGGGACTCCTACTGGGAGGAGCAAGTAAGATTCTCTTGCCCATACGACCTTTGTAAGGGCAAAGTGTAGCAGAGCTGCCTGGCACTAAAATCACTGTCTCAGGTACCATTTTCAAGAAGTTACTGCACATAACTACTACGTTAAATGTTTTTCATGTATTAACTTATTTACTCCTCACATGGGTCTGAGAGAAGGAGATTACAGCTGTCCCACCAGGTACATGGGGGGTCGGTTCAGGGACCCAGTGGACTGCAAAACCCATAGATGCTCCAGTTCCTTATAGAAAATGACACCTGTCCTTCCGTGTGTTTAAATCATACTCATCCAACCCACAAGCCACAGGCATCTGCAGCCCTGGGCAGCTAATAATATGGTCCCCTACGATCCTGAGCTTTTAACATCCTTGTGCAGTTGTTAACTGCATTTTTCATGGCTCCATCCCATAGTGCTTTAGCAATGATGACAAAGGAATGGAGCTCAGGTGCCATGCAGGGCTGGCTCTTGTCACGTGCTGGCCATACAGTAGAACTGAAACCGCGTGTACCTGCTGTTACCTGCTTGTGTGTAACTTGTGGAACACGCAGCAACTACCTAACCTTCCCGTGTGTGTGTGTGTGTGTGTGTGTGTGTATGTGTGTGTGTGTGTGTGTGTGTAGAAAGGTGTTCACTGTTTCTAAAACAATTGCTCCTCACACTAGGAGGAGCCAAAAGGTGGGACACCATGATTCATCTCTACATCACCTCTAACAGCTAACACAGTACTTGAGTGCTATCTGAATAGTTGTTATATTGTATAATTTAGGGAATAATAGCAAGGAAAAAAAGCTTGAACAGCTTAAGTACAATTAAAAACTTTTTTCAAACCTTGTTTGATTGAATCTGCAGGTGTGAAACCTACAAATACAGAAGGCTGGCTGTAATTTTATTTCCATTTTTATTTATTCGCAGTGCTGGGTATTGAACACAGGGTCTTCTTGTGGAGTTATATCCTTGGCCTCTTTTTTTTGTTGTTGTTTTGAGACAGAGGCTTGCTTCTTCACTAAGTTGCCTCTGTTGGGGTTGAACTAGAGATCCTCCTGCCTCAGCCTCAGTGCTGAAGTTACAGGTTATTTCCCTTTTATAATGAAGGAACAGAGACCCAGAGAGACCATCTTGCTCCTGGTGACCAGAGCCAAGGTGACACACAGGAAGCACCATCCAAAGCTGCTGACTGCAGAAGATGGGGTCCTGACAAGAATCTGTCCTCTGCTCTCAAACATACTTTTGAATCTGGACTTGGCCACTTAGCAGGCTGTGGACAGGTCATGCCAGACTTCATTTCCTGTTCCTGGGTTGCACACAGTAGTGAGCATGGGTATTGGTACCAGGCAAGGGGGCTGGCATACAGAACAGAGCATGGGGAACCCCCCTGTCGTGGGCCAGTTTTATTACTGTATGGTTCCTATCGCTCACCATGTAACGTGCACAGTTAAAAGGTATTTAGTATATTCACAGATTTGTGTAACATCTCCAGCCTCCATTTTAGATCACTGATGGCATCTGAAAAAGGAACCTGGGCTTCAGAAAGTGGCTTGGCGGCAGAGTGCTTGCCTAGCATGTGTAAGGCCTTGGGTTCAATCCCTAGCACCACCAAGGCGCAAATGAAGAAACAAACTACAACCTTGTACTCACTGACAGGCACTTCCCATTTTCCCCTGAAGTTTTCGCCCCTCTCAGTCCTCAGCATCACTGATCTATTTTTTGTTTGTTTTGGTTTTGTGGGTATTGGAACTCGAACTCAGGACCTCACACTTGCCAGGCAGGTGCTGTGCCACTGAGCTGTATCCCCGACCCCTGAGCTGTTTTATCTCTGTAGCCTCTCCTGTTCTACAGGTGGAGCCACTCACTATGTGGCCTTTGTGTCTGGTTTCTTATGTGTGGCATGATGTTTTCCAATTTACCCATGTTGAAGTACGTGACATTATTTATTCTGTTGCATGGGCGTATCACATTTAATCAGCTTATTAGTAGGTGTACATTGAGTTTTTTGGCTACTTTGAATGATGTTGTATGAGCATTTGTGTGTGAGCTTTTGTATAGATCTATACACTCACTTGTTTTTGGTCTATAACCAGAATTGTCATTGCTAGGTCATATGGTAACTCATTGTTGAACTTTTGGGGAACTTTCCTCAGTTTTTAAGACTAGACACATCATTTCACATCTCCACTAGCAATGTGGAAAGTTTCCACTTTCTCCACAACTTCACCAACACCTTTTATTATCTGCCTTTTTAAATGTGGCCATCCTTGTGGTTATAAAGTGGCATCTCAACGTTTTGGGTTTGTATTCCCCAGATCACTAATAAGGTTGTGTGTCTTTTCCTGTGTTTGTTGATCACATATGTGTCTTCATTGTAGAAGTATCTATTCAGACTTTTTGACCATTTTAAAATTGAATTATTGGTGTTTTTATCAGTTAGTTGTAAGAGTTCTTTATATATTTTGGATATTAGTCCCCAATCACATACATAATTTGCAAATATTTTTCGCTTTCTATGAGTTACCACTCCACTTTTTTTGACAGTGTAGTCAGCTTTCTGTTGCTATGAATATTACCTGAGATAAATAGCTTCAAAGAGGGAAGGTTTATTTTGGCTCATGGCTTTGGAAGTTCCAGTCTGTGGACAGCCAGCTGCACTGCCGTGGGTCTCTGGCAGGCAAGGTAGAAGGGGGTGGCAGAGAAATCTGCTTACCCCATGGCACCAGGAAGGGGCCAGGGACAAGCTATGTCCTTCAAAAGCATGGGGACATCAATCCATTATTGAGTCAGTGCCCTTGGGACCCAGTCGCCCAGCTAGACTTCCCCTCTGAGCAGAGCTGCATGGGATCAAACTCTCAATACATGAGTCTTCGGGGGTCACTTCACACTTAAATCATAACAGATGGTATCCTTTGAGCCACAGAAAGCTCAAAGAGCCTAATAGTTTCTTTGTTTTGATAAAGCCCAATTTAAAAAAGAAAACGATCAGTTTGCTTTGGTTTCTAAAAACACTGTTCTTCTCCTGTCTTGGCTCCAGCTGGGTGCCTGGCTCAGAAGATGGGGCTGCCCATCCGCCTGGTGGCGGCGGTGAACCACAACGACATCATCCACAGGACAGTCCAGAGGGGAGACTTCTCTCTGTCCGCGGCTGTCAAACCAACCTTGGCGTCCGCCATGGACATTCAGGTGGGACTTTGGGGAGGTGAGCAGGGTGGCCCAGGCACCTCGGGTGGAGCCTGAGCTGAAATCAGGGTGGCTTGGGACTCGCCTTTCCACCAGGTGCCTTACAACATGGAGAGGGTCTTCTGGCTGGTCTCCGGCACCAACAGCCGGGTGACCAAGGCCCTCATGGAGCAGTTTGAAAGGACCCATAGTGTGCAACTATCCGAGGACCTGCATGGCAAGGTCAGTTGCTGTCCACACCCCACAGGAAGGGCAAGGGGGTGGCTGCACTACAGAGTGGGTTGTGGGTAAAGGAACAGGACACCTGGCATGAGCCCAGGCGTGTTTACAGTCACTTCATGGTGGGTTAATGTATTAATGAGGAGAGCCTGTAGAATGCAGCTTAGATTCAGGTGGGCGGAACCTCAAATCAGCTGCGAAGCGCTGGACCAGTTTCTGAAAATCTGTGCCTCAATTTCCTCATCTTTACAATGGGGATAAAAGCCAGGCATGGCAGTGTATACATGTAATCCCAGCACTTGAGAGGCTAAAGGTAGACAGGGATGCATTTATTTTAATGTAGCCGGGTGATGTTACTTATTTTATGTATCAAATGTAGGAGTTTGAATTTTCCACATCCCCCTAAGTGGCTATGTGAACTCCATCTATCTCCAGTGACCAGGACCTCCCTACCCTGCACCAGCTCTAACCTAGCAGGTTCCTTATACAGAGCCACAGTCTGCTCCTTCTAGCTTACATGATCTGATTTTACCTCTGATTGTACCTCTTCCTTTGGAGAGAATCCTCATTCCCACTGGTCTTCCCAGTTCCTTCCCTAATGGGGATGCTTAGGTTGCTATAGAAATTATGTTAGCGTGGGGTCTCTGTGGCCACCGAGTTCCTGCAGGGTGTGTGGTGTGCTATAAACACGCGGTACATTTTCAGAGAATGATCATTGGTGTAGCAGGAGTAGGGGTGGTGCAGAGGCAGGAATCTCCCTCTGTCTGCAGAAGCAGGAGGGTCGTTGCCCAGGCTGGGTAGGAGCTGGCAGTTTGGAGCTCTGGCCCGGAAGCTGGTGCACCAGGAATAAAGCGCTAGAGATGCTGAGTATGCCTGACCTGGAGTGCTGTGCCAGGTTGTTGAACAACAGCAGCTACTTTGTTGATTCATGAGCCATGCCCCAACTGAGGGTTTTGACCCTAAGACACCAACGAATCCTTCCTCAAGTTGAGTGAGCAGCTCAGCACTGGGACAGTGACTGCGCAGGGGTGCTTTGTCTGAACTCCGGCTGCACAGCAGCGGGGATGCTCAGTGGGGTTTTACTCTCCTCTCCCTGCTCCCCTGGCCCCGGCATCCATCTCTGCCTCTGGGACCCTTCAGCTTTCAGAGGTGGTGACTTCTGTGTCAGTGTCGGATGAAGCCATCACCCAGGCCATGGGCCGCTGCTGGGATGAGAACCAGTACTTGCTGTGTCCTCATTCGGCGGTGGCCGTGAGCTACCATTACCAGCAGATGAACAGGCAGCAGTCCAGGTACGGTGTGAGGTGTGGGGCACAGGCCTTGGGCTTCCAGGGACCATCATCTTCCTTAAGTCCCCAGGACTGGACAGATGGCTCTCCTGGGGGTGTGATGGGTGGGCTGTGTGGCCGGGTGGTCTCAGAAGTGTGGCAGATACCTCTAGGGCAGTGGGAGGGGACATGGATGAGCTGGGCCCCCAGTTGGGAGCTGGGCAGAGTCATGGTAGAGGTGAGTTCAAGGGACAGTCATCCGTCCATCTGTGTCCTCTGTGCCCAGCCCTGACCTTCTCCCCTCCCTTCCTCCTGTGCCTTCATCTTCCCGGTGTCCCTTGCTGTTCTCTCACCTGGCCTCCCGTCCCTGCCTATCCCTGACAGTGTTCCCCGGTGCTGCCTGGCCCCTGCCTCTGCGGCCAAGTTCCCGGAAGTGGTCCTGGCTGCCGGGCTGACCCCAGAGACACCGGAAGAGATCCTAGCCCTGGAGCGCAAGGAGACCCGGTGCACTCCGATGCGGAGGGGAGATGACTGGGCGATGATGCTGCGGAACACAATCGAGGACCTCAGCCGGAGCTGGAGGGCCGGATCCTTGAGTGTCTCGGAATAACCCTGGTGGAGCCTGCCTCACTTTGAGGGGAGGTGCGCCTCTGACTGCAGTGAGGAGGATGGGGGCGGTTCTCAGAGGACTGTGAGGCTGGGTCAGGGCCAGCTGCTTTTGCTGCATCTCTGGGTGCTGTGCACCCTATTCCTGGCAGTGCTGCTCCTGGTCCTTGGCGGGGACTGGGTGAGGGGTGAAGTGCACCCCACCTCTGTATATGGGCACATTTCCAGGCCTGCTACTAAGGAGTTTTGGGTACAGGATCAACCCTGCTCCCGGGGTTTAGGACCCTGAGCCTTTGGAGGTGGAGGCCGCTCACTATGCTAACACAGGCTCCCAGCTGACAGTCTCTGAGCCTTAATTTCTCTGGCTTCCAAACCAAGGCCAGTGCATTGGCCCAATTTGTCAGGCTTCCAGCCTGCTGCAGGGCTAGGAATCCCTGGGATAAACATGCTGCCCCGATGGCCTCAGAGTGGTGGGGCCGAGATGTCCTGTATCCACCTGCTGCTCTGCATTGGCCCAGGCTTGTCGGGCAGCAGAACAGGGAGGGTCCAATGCCAAGGCTGTAGAGGAGGGTCGAGCTGGGCATTGCCAGATCCAGGCCATGTGGGAAGCATGGGCAGCACTGATGTGCAAGCAGTGTAAGTTGTCCTGTTCTTCATCTATCATGTCCATACTACTTATTTATATTACTGGGTTCAGATCCTGTGGGCATCAGAGGAGTTTTAGACAAACACAGACCAGTGAATGTCAGTGTCAGCTTTAAACCATGAATCTGGGGTCCCCTCTGGGAACCAGGTAGAAAGGCAGGGTGAAGAGATGTTTTTCACCACTAGAGGATGCTGATGCCCCACCTAGTGGGCATCTGACCTCAAGAGCCCTGTCCTCACTCTGGAGAGTGAGGTACTGGTCACCCAGGGCAGAGTCTGCCTGGCATTCCCCAATGGGCATGCCAGCCCTGCATCTCCAGGATGCCCAGGGACTGGGGGAAAAGCTGGAAGGCACCAGCTGCTGGAGGATTTGGCTTCGAAACCTGACGTGCACACCAAGGTGGAACCCTAGTTGGGGAAGGGAGAGTCCCTAAGGGAATGACTGTGGCTCCTTACAAGTCACAAAGCTTGGTGATTTCACAGACACTTTGCAACCCACAGCAGCAGACAGTGATGGAGGCCCCTGGGCCATTTACTCACTAGGAACAGTGGGCCTGGTGCTTAGATGTTTTAATTTTTTTAAACCCAAAGAAAGCAGTGAATACAATTCCAGTTTGGATCATATTCATCTTTGTACCAGCTCAGTTGTACAATTCTAAATATTCTCCTAGAAGAGGCTGGCGATAGTCATAAGTGCCCCCTACTGTGGGCCCACTGATATTTTACAAAACTTAGCACATTTGATCTTGATGAAAACTTGCCAAATGGGTGCTACCATTTCCCCCATTTTACAGATCAGAAAGCCGAGGCTCCAAGAGGACAGGTAACCAGCCAGAGTGGCACCATTAGTGTACACAAAAGGGCTGAGACTTGAGACTTGAACTTTTGTGTGTGGCCAGTGCCTCCTCTGCAGCCAGGCGTTTCTGTGGGGTCACTCTGCTGCTGGTTCCCTCACCTTTCTTTGGTGTGGCCCTGTTCCTGGGTGCCCACCCTCCTTTCTTGGATGGATTTGGGAGCACAGCTGTGCTTCGCCAAGAGGCCTCCAGGGGGCAGTGCAGCCCTGTTTCCCTGCTGGCCACAGGCTCCTAATCTTTTGCTGGGCTTCTGCTGAAACCCCGTCGGTCCTCTGCTGGTCCTGGGATCTGCCCACCTCTGAGAGGCCACCACAGCACAGACAGACATAAAGTGTAGACAACAGGGCACCAGGTCTCGAGGGCAAGGACCAATGCACTCTGCACCTGCCCAGAAGGAAAGGTGGACAGGAGTGGGGGAGGGACAGGAATGAGACGTTTGAAGATGTACCCACCCCGTAAGCACACACACTTGCCATTGAGGGCTGAGCGGTGTGTGTGTGTGTGTGTGTGTCCCGATCCACAGGTAGCCATTGTAGCTCACGGTCCTCAGCACGTAACTGGTGTCCTTACAGGAAGAGGAAACCAGGACCCAGATGTCAGCGCACACAGAGTGGTATGGAAAGGTGCCACCTGCACTTTGAAGAGAAGCCTTAGCTCCTGGCACCTGGATCTCAGCTGTGCATCCTCCAGCACCGGAAGGAAATAAATTTCTGTGTGCTAAACCCACACAGGAAGTGGTTTGCCCTTGTGTCAGCCCGAGCCAGCACACACACGCACACAGACACGCACACACAGATCCAGGTATCCACAGATGCACCAGGTACCCATCTTCTGCGAGCCATCCACTTCCTGTGCTATGGTCACAAATCAGCTGTTTCATGGCTGTGCACCTCAGTTTTCCTCTTCTGCTTATTGGAACCCTTACCCGCCTTGCAGGTTTACTCTGAGGATTACCTGACATAATGTATTGCTAAGTGCTAGGTAAACTCTCAAATGCCGTACAAATGGTTCTTCCTATTAACACAATTATAGTCTGTGCGGAACAATTTAGTACTTTTAAGCTGCCTTGTGTTTTTCACTAATTGCCTTGGGAATCAGTCTTATCTTGCCTGGGTGGCTGCCTCTCCCTTGGGGGTAAAGTTCTTCTGTGGTCTCCTGAGTGCTGCTGCAGCTCTGGGCACAGGGTGGAAGGAAGTTGCCTTGGCCTGGCCAGTGTGCCCGGCAGTGGGATCTCCAGGGATGTGCGGGGCTGAGTGCCATAGATTTGCCAGTTGTGCTTCTGCTAGCCAGTCAGCAAGCCTTGTTCATTCACAGTCAGGTGCCGTGTGATGCAATAATTTCTTTTTAGGGCACTAGAGCTGGGCTGAGCCCTTTGTGAAGCTCTTTCTAGACGTGGATTCTCGAGCACTCATGAGAAGTGCATGGGCAAATGTGATTAGAGATGAGGGAATGCAGTTCAGAGTGGTCAGGTCGCTTATCCCAAGCCACAGAGCTGAATGGCGCAGGAGGGCTGTAAGGCCGACGGTAGTGGCTTAACCACTGTGCTAGGCCACCAGGAGAGACATGTCGAGCCTCCACTTAATGTATGTGGTGGCCTGAGGGCCAGATGGGAGACATAGTGTCTAGGAGTGACTGGCAGCTGCTCTGGGGAGTGCCATAGAGTCACAGGAGTCCTTCCTTCTGGCTTGGGCTCCCTTTGGATCTGGGCTGCTCACCATGGGGTAGCTGGGAGCAGGTGTCTGCTCATTGGGAGGGTATTGCTGTGGGAAGAGGGGACAGTGGTTCTGGGGGGTTTTCAGCCCCCACCTGATTGACCCACTGGAAAGACTCAGAATGGGGTGTCTGCATGCCAGCTGTAGTGGGGCACACCTGTAATCCCAGCATTCCAGGGGCTGAGGCCAGAGGATCATTATAAGTTCAAGTTCAAGGCCAGCCTGGACTATATACTGAGACTTGTCTCCAAAATAAAATAAAATAAAAAGGAAAAAAAAAGGAGAAAGAAGAACAGGGCTTCTGGGTGGGGGAGATGGGCAAGGCCTGGAAGCTTTGTTTAATTTCTCAGCTGGGTCCTAAATAAACATGGAGTAAACAGTATGGGGAGGACTTGGCTGCTCACTTGGAGAGAGAACAGGGAGGGCTTCTCCATGCCTCAGCCCAAGAAAACAGAGCTGTCCTTTTGGTCGCCACCCTTCAACCCTCTGATCTGCACCCTGGGGTCTTGCAGTGCCTAGAGCTGGGCAAACGCTGAGGGCCAAAGCGCTGACTTCCCATCATGTGCTGGGCAGTGGTGCTGGGCAGTGAGGGGCACCTGGACACGAGGTCACCAGGCCTGACAGAGGCAGAGGCAGGAGAGGGTGGCCACAGCCAGGAGCTGCCTTGGCTGCCCTTCTGCTGCCCTTCCCCTCTCTCCAGCACCAAGAGAGTGTTGGTTTAGGAGCCTGTACCCCACTACCTAAGCATTCCCTAAAAGCCACTGTCAGATAAACCAAAAGCCCAGGACCCAGCCCCCAAACCTACTCTTCCCTGAGAGTATGAGACTGGAGCAGAACCATGAGGAGGTACTGAGGACCCAGACAGACACTGGGCCGGGGGAGTGGGAAAGGCGGAACTGAGTGGGGTCTCCAGACCCAGCAGGATGGAAGGGAGCCCTTCAGGACTCAGGACTGTCTTTGTCTCCTCTTCCCCAGAGAGTCGCAGGGCTTCCTGTTGCAGACAGGAATGCTGCATACAAGCGGGCCTCCCTTCCCTCTGGGACAGGGACGAAGTGGCCTTGGTCCTTCTGGCCAGGATGAAACTCTGTGATGCCTCCCCTAGGCTTGGCCATGAGGGGCACCCAGGAAGGGCCATGCTTACTCTCCTGGGTCGCTGCCTTCCCCCCATCATCCATCACCCAAGGACCACAGCGCTTACTTGTAAAGCTGATACAAATCAGGTCGCAAGTGTTCAGACAGGTAGGGGCACCACTTTATGCAGTGTCTCTGCAATCAAAGGTCACTGAGGGCTGCCACCCTCCTGTCCTGGACAAATGCATGCATGCTTCCAAGTCCGGAAAGCCCAGGAAGGGAGCCCCGCCAATGCTTCCTGTGGCCAGTAGAGGGCAGAAGAACACACCCAAAGTCTTCCCTTGGACTGGCCACATCCCCACCAGTTTGTGACAGTAGAGATAGAATCCTTAAGGGCACATGTAAATTCCAATGCAAATGCAGATGCTGAAATTATGTGACAAGACAGTTTTAAAGTGGTCACTGATGGTCCAGGAAATCTTTCTTAAAAATTTGTCAAGAAGAAATATGACACCTGCCAAACACCTCACTGGTGGAGAATTCTAAAACAGCGTGACTCGGGCTTGCAGTAGGGCTGGTGCCTGGAGCCCCTTTGGGAAAACATCACCTTGCCCAATGCTGGGTTCTCACGGATGAGCAGGATGAGCTGCCAAGGTCATCAGGGAGGCGCAGCTGGAGGACATCCGGCCTCTCATTTGCATCACACTTCCCCCTATTAACAACCTCTGGGAGCCCAGGGCACACTCGGCCTGGGCATGGATTCGCCAAAGGATTGCCCTCCCCAACTTGGGCACAATCTTGTAGGTACCAAAAGCCTGGAAAACAGAAGGTATCTGTCTACGTAGTCCTGCCTGAAGTGATTCCGGAAGCCAGGTCTGGTGAGCAGGCCTAACCTGCACTGCCCTGGGTCACTTCAATTGCTGATTTTTTAAAAACTTATTAAGTCTCACAGATATTAAGTCTTTACTGGATGCTAGCATTAGGAGATTGGGTAAAAAAGACCCATTTGGGGCCAAATCCTAAGGGTGGGTTTTTAACTTGAGTTCCATTAACTGCCAAGAGGACCAAGGATACAATTCAGAGGGTCTAAGAACTTCAAGGGGGAAAAACTGCAGGTTTATTTTCTCCAGCCTGAAATGGAAGGTTATCATCTCCTTCACATATCTGTGCTGACAAAAATCAGTTAATTCCAGCAGCACCTGGGACTCTCTCATCAACAGAAATCACAGATATCTTCATAGACATCACAGCAGCCTCAGCGTTAAAACGAGATTGATTGTAAAAGGCAGCTTCAGGGGGTCACCTTTGGACAGGTCCAGCTTCAGAGACTCTGCGGAAGACAGGATGGCAAGGATGACGCATGCTTAGGATGGTCATTGTCATCAAAAAGAAAGGATCACAGTGTCCTGGGTGCCATTCTCACCTCTGGAGCCTCCTTCTTTGCCTGTGCAATCTTTGAAAATCATTCATCTGTGTTTAACTGGTCACTCTGAGCGATGTCCAGGGACCCCCATGTGTGTCTGTGAATTAGTCACCATGCAGTACTCTAAATAGATACCTTGACTTTAATCCTCCTTTCCTCCTATATGCAAGAAAATGTGCTGTGTTTTGGTTCATGAATCTGGGTTGCCATCAGCTCTAGGTTGACAGAAGGTTCTAGGTATAGAGCCAGGCCTGAGGGTAGAGACAGTGCCTGCGGTGGGCGGAGGAGTGGTCCAGCAGGCAGGAAGCCCATTCCCACTCCCATTTTTGCTGCCCTCTGGCTGGGGGCTGTCACCCTTCTCCTGTGAAGTAACAAAGTCGGGCCATGTTCTCTGTGCATCCTTCTCATCTGCACCTCACGGGCACTTTGCTGGCCTCCTTGGGGAAACGTCCTTCATGGATCAGGTCCTCAGCCATGACTCTGCTTGCGACAAAAGTGTTGCTCTGTGTCTTCCGTTGAGTGGCAATAGGCACCTAAACTCCCAGCAAAAAGCCCTAGAGTGCGCTGGGTCCTTGCTAAACCCAAGGAGGCATCCTGAACAATGAGGAAGCCTTTGCTTTCCAGTGACTTCTATAACACCTGTGTGTACACACGCACACACACACAGATGCACACGCATGTGTGCACCAAGGAGAGAGCACAGGTAACTCCTGTAGTGTTTCTGAGAAGGGGAAAAGTCACTGCTACTGGTCTTGCATGATTAGTGAAAATTTCCAAGAGGGAATGGGTGAAGTGTAGCTCTAAAGAGAGGTAGGTGTGGGGTAGCAGGGGTCTTGCCAGCATTATGGGATGAATTACATATCCCTCAAATCTGTATGTTGAAGTCCTAATCCCAGTCACCAGAATATGACTGTCTTTGGAGACTGAGTCTTCAAAAACCAATTAAAATAAGATGAGTTCATTATATGGGGCACTAATCCCACAGGACAGATATCTTTATAAGGAAAACAAATGTGGACATAGATGTGTACCAGTGGAAAACAATGTTGCATCCCTAGAAAATTAATAAATTCCTCAGCCAAGAGGCAAAGCATGCACAAAATACCTCAGAGAAGTCAGGGGGTAGCCAAGTCCACCCTGCTTTGAGGATGGAAATGCAAGCATTGGAGTGGCTCCTGTGTGCCAGGCACCTGCAGGGCACATGGTCTTTGCTCCCCCTTCAGTTCCTCGGATGCCACTTCAGATGAGACAATGAGGCTTGAGGAGCACAGGAGGTCCCCAAGACACACTCCTTTGCCTGCTGTCCCCGCCCCCCTTCCAATGTCATTACTGCCACTTGGCTGGGTTGGTGCGGCTCACTCTGGGCAGTGTCCACACTCAGCTCGGGCATCTGCACCCAGGAGTGTCGACTCATCGTAGAATGTCCCTTGAGCTGCATGGTCGAGGCGACAATGTTCTGCCCGCTCTGAGTCTTGTCTCCCCTCCAGCTCCTGGGACCACAGCTATGTACTGCAGCTGCACCCCAGCTGGGCATCACCTCTGCTGAGGATTCACACGTTCCCAGCCCCCGGGGTCCTGGCTGGGATGCAAAGGACACCGCTGAAGGGCGGTGCCAGCTCCTGTGCTCTTTGTGGGAGGTCTGAGGTTTCTGCTGCCACTGTTTAAGGGTCAGATTCTCCCCTGAGGTTCTGCCTGCTTCACTTCTATGCAGGGCTCCTGAGGGGACAGCTCCTGAGGCCACCACGTGTCATTCTCCACCTCTGTGTCTGGGAGTTTTCTCCCATCCCAGAAGGCCTGGATATAGGACGAGCCCTGAATGGGGAATGTGATTGATTGCTGCTGGC